CTTCCTTAGTTGGCGCACCAACATGTAAGGCACTTATTGGCGTGACATCTTCTGGCTCAAAGATCGCCTATAAGAGATCAATATTCTAAAAGTTTGACCGACTATCTATAAGATTGATAACTTTTAAAGATGGATCAACAATTGACCTATTGTTTTTTGCCGGTCTCGGGAATTGAGCTAGAATCCAGGGATCCTCCCAAACTGAGATGGCAGCCCCAGATACGACTCTCTTAAGAAGTTATTTATTAACCAGAGATCTAGCTGAACATATCCTTCGCTATCCATATGATGAAGAGTATGCTTTTATATTTTCCAAAAGATTGCATTTCCGAAAGTACCGCCCTTTGAAAACCTTTGCGAAAAGAAAATCTGAAACTGTAATCAACCACCATGATCGTAACACGTAATATATATAAAGTTTGATTTTCAAAGGTTGTAACACGCATGATCGTAACACGTGTCAAGTCTATCGATCAGATGTTGACGTGTGTCAGATAAAATTTAATTTTTTATTAAAAAAATAGGAAAGCTTAAAAAGATACATATTTACATATACTAATTTATATGTCTATATCAAAAGTTTTTAGCTGTTTATTTTCTTAACCAAAAAGGAAAAGTAACATTTGTTTTACATGTGTTATTGGTCAATTAAATTAGCATGTATTGATTTTTAAACCAAAAATTCATTTAGCATGTATAGTAACTAATAAATAATGATGGTTGAATTTTAAAATAAAAATATAAGTTATTTAACATTAATTTAATTGGAAAATATTGTATTTATCATTGCAGTTGTGTTTTTATTCATTATACGAAAACACATATAGATTGAAAAAATAATGAACTTATAAAAATGAACTTTTGAATACTTGATGAGAATATTAACTAGTATGGTTATACACATACTTTTTTTTATTCTAAGTTTTTTAACGTATGTAGTCATAATTGAAAAACAAAAATTTTGGGAAAATAGCTTATATAATTGAATTTTCGATTACTTGATGAGAATGTTAGTATATATTTTTTTATACTTTTTTAATAAATTTCAACTCATTTAAACTTAGCTTTACATGAGATAAAATTAACTTATGACTTTACGTCTTTACGTCATATAGAAAACTGTATTTTAAACAATGTTTTTTTCCAATTTTTTTGTGGAATAATTGAATTCTAGTTTTTATTAATTATGTTTTCTATTTGTTAATTATTTTAATATTAACTAAGATACAAATTTCATATGATATACATATTATTTAAATATAAAATTGTTAGCACTTATCTATTAAGATGAAGTGTGTAGAATTAAAATAGTTTTGTGATGAAAAATAGATAGTTAAATTATATTGCAAGACGAATGTGTAAAATTGAAATTTAGTTATTAAAAATATAAATTAAATATAGAAAAAATGGGTGGGTTACTATTTTTAGAATTCAAATATCATCCACAAGATGGAGTGTGTAAGGCCTGGACATAAAAACCGGAACTAAAGAACCGAACGGAACCGAACCGAAAAAAGGGTTCTAGTTTGGTTATGGATACCACTAAATACCCGAATGGATCTCAGTCACACTATTTTTTGGATATGGGTAACAACCGAACCGAAGCGAATATCCATGGATACATGAATGGAACTGAAAATATTTGGTCAACCCTCTACAAACCTACATCTAAGCCCAATACATTTTGTCCCAACCTCTAACCCAGTAAATTTTTGTTAATTTTTTGATATTTTAGCCCAGTATATTATGATCTATTACAATTTTGTCAAAAAGGTTTAAAATATTGGGGTGTTTCGTTTTTTTTTTTAGTATTTGGGTTTTATTTGTGGATTTTAGGTAAAATAACCGGAACCGAATCGATATCCATTTGATTGTGGTTATTTATCGGTTCTCTTTCTAATTATCCGAACCGAATCGAACCGACAAGTAACCGAACCGAACCGAAACGAAACTCTTTCAGTTCTTTTATGGATCCTAAGGGGTTGGAACCGTAAAACCAAAAACCGAAAGAACCGAACCGAATGGAACCGAAGAACCAAACGCCCATGCCTATTTGTATAATTAAAATTTAGTTTATTATGATGAAATAGATAGTTAAAATATATAGTTAAATGAAATGTGTAAATTGAAATTTTGTTTAAAATTTTTTTATTAAATATTACGAAAATATGTTAATTACTATTTACTATTAAAAATCTAAATATCATCGATAAAACTAAAAGTATGTGAATTATTATTTACCATTTAGGCGAGATTTATCAAATTACATAGATTTCTTAATTTAATGGTAATCATAAATACTGTAAAACTAAAAGTAGATTACACTAAGGCCACACGCAATGGTGCAACCACTCGGCGAGTGTGAGTATTAGGGGGGTGTATTGGACTAAACATTTGGTATGATTTGGTGGAATTTAGATTTGGAGGAATATTAGTAGGATTTAAAGAAATTGTAGGTGATTTAATCCAAAATCCAAAATCCTTTGTCATTGTAAGTATAGACTTTTCTATAATTACAAAAAACAAAGTTTAGTGATTTGGTGAGATTTATCATTATAGATGATATTGGTGTTGTGTGTGATAATTTTTCTCTCGTCACCTCCAAAATCTCAAGTCGATCATTTGTTAAGTAAAAAACTGTATTCTTATTAACAATCAAATAATCGATACACCGTTTATGAGAAGAACCATCATAAGTATCACATATGTCACTTTTTACAACAAACAATGCATAAAACCTAACAAATGAGAAAACTATTCTTATTTGTGCCAACATTAGTTTCTTCAAGCTTCTTCTCTCACGTCTGGCTTCCTCTGCTTTCTTCATTCATTCTATACACATTCAGTGGCTTATCAATCTTCCGTGCCAGCTTGATCACATGGTTTCCATTATCTCATGATATTATCTTTATTGGAAAGTTTGAACAAAGATAAGACTTAGGTAAACACCTCATTGTCATAAGCAAAGGACAAGCAGTAGTTAAAACTTTCAAACATATTCGCCTAAGCGAAGCATCTAACCCCACTCTTATAGCTAGTAGGAACAAAACCGCAGCGTTATAGACTTGAGAGAGAAAATAGAAAATCAATCACAAGATTCTCGGATGAACAATTAAACAGCTCTTGATTTATAGCAACACTTCCGTCTTGAACTTAAGTTTGTATATGTCATATTGTGCTCTTAATTCATGGCTCAAGCTTTATCTACATGACCACCATACCACTAGAATGTACTCATCCATCTTTTTAATCATGGACGTCGATGTTCATGTGAAGAATCTGTGACGAGCAGCATTACGAGAATCGCTCTGACCTGACACAACGAATCGCAACCCCAAATTAGTTCCTTCTTCAATTTGGCATATTTACTATGGAGGTCGTTTCAACCATATCTATCATCAATTCATAATCACATGTCGTTGTTATCCTCAAATATGAAGAAGATCAAAAATTAAAGAAAAGGTCTTCCTTTAAGATGTGTAAGCTCATGGCATCGTCGTCTTCCGCAAAAAAAATTCCATAGATTAGAATCTTCAATCAATCCCCTAGATAATTTACAAACTATTGATTTTAGACACAAAGAAAAAAAACAAGAACTAATCGATGAATCGATCATTGAAAACAGAGAAGTAGTCAAAGCCATGTGGAGGAGAAGAAGAAGATACAGGGAGGCTTTTGTTTTCACTTTTCAACAATTTTTTACATAAACGTTATTTTAAAATTTATGTGAAGTCTCTCAAATCCCACCTCTATAGGTGTGATTTTCTTGGCCTCTATTTTCAACTAAAAATGTATGTAAAGTCTCCTACAATCTTTTTAAAAATCCTTTCTTAAAATTCTTGGTAATTTTTGAATAACAGTGGATTTGATATGAGTTTTACGAATCATTGATTGAATAACTAGGGATTTTAGATGATTTTGAATGATTTTACATAAATTTCATTTCCAATAACATAGGATTTTGAAAGGCATTTAAAAATCATTAGTTGAATAACATGTGATTTATAGAAAAAACAACACTCTTCTAAAATTCCTATTCCAATACACCCCCTTAAACAATAGAGAAATAATGTAAAAAGTTATTTTTCAACAAAACTTGAGTGTATAGTTGCATTCGGGTGTGAGGCTTTTTAAAAAGGGAAAAAAATTTATTCTCTCTATCTCTCTCCTCTCTCTCTCTCTCCACCTGCCAATTCTCCTCCTCTCTCTTCAATAAATTTTATAATAAATCTATTATTAACATCTATCCTCATGGTTTTGCCACTGCTGATGCCCTAATGGAAGTTAAGTACCTAATTGTATGTCATTTATGATATTAAAACTAAAATAATGGGCCTGATTGGTAACAGCTGTAGTTTTACATTTTTTGATGTAGAAATATGACTGTAGGTTTATTTGCTGTGGCTGTAGATTTTATTGCTGTAGTATTTTGGCTGTAGAATTTAAAATTTTGGAAAGTTGAAAATTATGTGATTTAGGAAAAAAGGCTTTCTACAGCCAAAAAAATGAATTAAAAAAATATTTTGGCTGTGAGAAAAGAAAAGGAAAGCCAAAGCTTCTAAAGCTTGATTGGATGTATTTCAAATCTTTATTAATTTTTTTGCTTTGTAAAGACTCTAAAGCACTTGCCAATCAGGTCCAATATCATAATTTCTCTTGAATATGATAAGATCTAGTTATTTAAGAAACCTAAAAATAGCTGGATCTTGATTGGTTTGATTGATTCCCTATTTGATTGATTCCGTACACAACGAGAGATCGATTCCGTCATAAAAGATTGTGCACACTATTGTTAATTTGGTATATAATATACAAATTGAAATTGGACCATGTAAGTCAACATCATTGCATATTTATATTTTTATAAATAAACGTGAAACTGTATTTCTACAAAAGCAAACGCGTCTTATTATAGTTTAATGAATGCTAATACCAAACAATTTAACAGACAATAAATAAATAAATATATATATATATATATATATATATAGATTATATATATAGACCACGTAGTATTCGTTCTTCTTAAGCTACATATTATAATTAGGTGTATTATCGACGGTCAACAAGGTAGTATACTTTTAGTTAATTCTCCCAAATTTATATATTAATAATTTCGGTCAGATTTTATCTCTATATATATACTACGTGGAAAACGCTTCGACTATTCAGTAAATTCTTCTGATCTTCTCTCTGCATTTTCAACACAATCTTCATATATATCGAAAATGCTTTCGTCTTCTTCTTCGTTGACGGTGGAGCAACCATCACGTACCGGAAGTTCGGGGATCAACGCCGTGTCCTCCGACGTTTTACGGTCTAACATCCTCACCCGCCTCGACGGTGCTTCACTTGCCGCCCTAAGCTGCACTTGCTCCAACCTAAACTCTTTTTGCTCGGACGAGTCCCTATGGATGCAACAATGTTCCGCCACATGGCCTTCTACCTTAGATACACGTGTCCAAAGCATCATCTCAACGTTCCCCGCCGGTCACCGGCAGTTTTTCTCTGATTCCTTTCCGTTTCTTGAACATGATGGTGTGATTAATCTCCCACCGTCCGTTGATATGACGGAGTTAATCTCAGCCGTTGATATGACGGAGTTAATCTCAGCCGTTGATATTTTCTACAAAGATAAAGTGATTTTCTCAAGGGTTCATGTGACAGAGACAGTCTCTGGGTGGTTCCTTTGTTCACCTATGCGTGTCGATCTTGTCGAACCGAAAGAACTAATTTCGACAAAAGTTTCAGTGGTCAACCAATGGGAAGATGACACGTGGAAAAGTGACTTGGAAAAGGATCTCTCCTTGAGCTGGATACTCATTGACCAGACCGGTAAACGTGCGGCGGATGTATCAACCCGTAAACCCGTCTCGGTGCAACGTCATTGGTTAACCGGAGAAGTTCACGTAAAATTCTCAACTATTTTTGTCGTGGGCAACAAGAAAAGGTCGGAGCAAGTAGAGTTCACGGTGACGGTGGTGCTGGCGGCGTTTAACCGGAGGGAAGAGGAAACAGCGGTAATGCAGATAAGAGAGGTGAGCCTAGTAGCAGAGGACAAAGATGGGAAAAATTTAGGAGGGAATGGTAGTTTGGTAATTTTGGCGGCGGCCATGGGGAGGAAGCGTCGGTTTAGGGCGGGAGGGGAAGGAGGAGGGAAAGAGAAGTACTTAGAATTCATGGAGAGGAAGTCGGAGAAGGCGGAGATGAAGTGGCGTCGAGGGAAAGAAACGGCAATGGAGACGGCGGCGTGTTGGATCGCCGTCCTTTTACTTGGTTTTCTTTTGTGTTTTTATCTGTTTATACATAAAAATATGGTAGCTATTATGAAAAAACTAATAAAATAGTTAAATAACTAGATTTTAACCCTGGTACACTGCAGGATAATTTATTTTTAAAGTTAATATAAAAATATTTTGTAAATTGTATCTCCTTATAAAATATTTATTTATATTATAGTTTACAATTGTTATTAAGTAACGGACAATTGTTAATAAACTAAAAATTTAACCAGCATTAAAGCAGCATGTTAATGATATTTATAAATATTGATTCAAATTCGTCCGCCATATAAACCCGTTCCGAAATATAATCCGTCCCATGATTTGTTTTTATTTTAAAATTTAATGATTATCTATTATATATAAAAGTTTACAAATCATATCATTCTCTAAGTCATTTATATTTTAATAAACTAAAGATTTAATTTGTATTAAAGCAGAATGTTAATGATATTTTTAAATTTTATAAATATTGATTCAAACGCGTCCACCATATAACTTCGTTCCGAAATATAACCCGTCCTATAACTTTTTAACCCGTCCCGTGATTTGTTTTCTAAAAGTAGTCATTTTTAAAATTTAACGATTATTTATTATATATAAAAATTTGCAAATTGTATCATTTTCTAAGATATTTATATTTTATAGTTTACAATTGTTATTAATTAACATTATACCATGGAACAATTTTTGGTTTTATACAATCTTTTCTAAATGAGATTCATTTAATATGTCTAATATTGGTGGTATTAAAAAAATAAGGATTTAGTTCTGATTGAAGCAGCGGATTAATAATATTTTAATCTTTTTATTATTGTTGATTCAAAAACCCGTCCTGCCAAACCCGTCCGGCCAAAAAACTCATTTATTTTATTAATGTTGATCTTATTTATGATATGATTCTAAATCATTGTCTAAATATTTTAATCGATGTAGAACGTTGAACACACATTTTCGTCAATTGGATAATATATGTCCCTTTTTAAAATTTCGAATCACAGTTTATGTACTGAACCCTCAACCACTGCACCAACACCATATTGCTATAGTAACTATACTACTATAGGTTATAGCAATGTGTTATCTTAATTTGACGTTCAAATAATTGCATGTCTTGTCTTAATAACTTTTTTTTTTTTTTTGTCATCCGTAATTAAATAGTGCTCAAAAGAGCCATTCTTGTGGAATGTTGTTTACATAAGTGATATGAAGCGGTTCCGTACGAACTTTTCGTGCCAGATTATCCGCTTTTACATTTGCACAACGAGAAATTAAAGATAAAGAGAAGGTAGAGAACTCTTCCTTGTCTTAATAACTTATTAATTCAAATATGTTATCTTACTTTGACGTTCAAATATTTTAGCCTATCACTATCCTGTCTGATTTTGCTAATTAAAGACAAATTAATTACGTTGTAATGCCTTTTTTTTAATAGAAAAAAGAAGAAGAAAGTATCCACTCCTTCAAACTTAAATAGTATTCAGTCTTAACTTTAGCAATTTATTAAACATTTTAAAATTTATAATACAAAAGATCCGTGTTTGACATACAAAGGAGAAATATATAAAATTCTACAAGAAAACATTATTCGTAGAATCATAGAAGCGACTTGGGATGGTGAAGGCATTGCAAAGCACAACGGTGAACGGTGCCAAAAAACATCTGATAGGCGTAAAGACTCAATGATAATTCTAAACTTGCAGTTGACAAAAAAAATTAAACTAAATTTGCTCACTTGATTTTTTTAGTTTTTAAATTACCAAATTAAACATATAATTTTTTTATTTTTTTTTGTTTTCATGCATTTAAGTCTTTAAGACGTTGCAATGACGGGTTGGATTATCTACAAACAGTAGGTCATATTTCGACGACAATAAACGTTGGAAATTTGTCGGAAATTCTCCAAAAACTGATAGTTTTTAACGGTTTTCCAATAATACAAAATCTGTCCGAACTGGAGCGTCCAAAATTTGATCCTTTATTTCAAAATTTGATCAGGTGAGAACCTTTTCCAAAGGTGAAATAATAACACTTCCCCCTTCGGGCGACAAAAAAATAATGTTCTTTGTTTTTTGGTCTATGTCGTCAAGAAACAAGTAATCATGATGACGAGGGAAATCCTTACGCTGGTAGAACTTTCAAGCTAACAACACGAAACATCACCTTCGAGCACAATGTGAAGCATAGACAATTCCGTGAGCACAATAAAGATCAATTCTCCCAATATGGTGCCCGCAATTCGATTCTCGTTGGCCACCGAGGTTTTCACCTGGCCCCCTCGGGCCTCCAGGAAACACACTAAGCGTTGGGCTCGGACGGCCCGAAAAGGAACCGGCCTCAAGCTTTAGTGGTAGTCGGGCTTCGGCCCGGATACCTGGATTATCAAAAAAATAAAAAAATAAAATAAAGATCAATTCCTACAGAAAAACAAAATGTTTTAGGAGTCTTACATTAGAAAGGGCTTAATCATATATATAAGGATATACGGGTATTCCATGTCGAAACTCCTAAATTTTGACATGGTTTAGAGTCTAGATTGACCCAAGTTATGTATGTTAACGATTATAAAAGAAGTTCGAGATTCACTTGGAAATTTCAGATCAACAATAACTTTGGACCTAATCTGCTATTATGTAAGGAATCAGAATCATTAGTCACTCCAATGTCATACGATTTTGAAATAAAATCAAACCAATATTCTTGAAGTGCTCTTCGCAAGATGTGGGACAACAACACCTAGTTAGTTATTTAAAGAAAAGGGCAATTGCATGTCTTGTCTAACACATTAGCTCTAATCATATACAGTAAGACCTTTATAATTAAATTAATAATTTCTGGACTGTGATATTTGCTAATTTTAGTTAGCGTCGGTCCCTCATTATCCTATCTGATTCTGTTAGCGATAATTAAGTAATTTCGTACTGACTTTTCAAACTCACACGGCCAAATTGAATAGTATCCTGATAAGTAAGTCTATTATAGAAATAGAAGGCACGTGTAAGGACGAATACTCATCTTAGTTCATTCACATTTACATATAAAAATACTAGGGTTGTTGTAGAGAAGAGTTTATGCATTGTTTTGTGTTCTGAAGCAATGATGTGTTGCTGAGAGAGGATTGATGTTTCTTGTGATGTGCTTGGAAGGTTCTCTTCTATTCGATGTATCAATTGGGTAAAGAAATAAATATTCACAGTTCCATTCTTAATATATTCATTCTTGACTATATGTTTTTCAGTTTCCATGGCTTTTTTAGACTACGCAAAAACAACTTATCTCAAAAGATCTGTGTTTTGACATACAAAGGAAAAATAGAGAACAGAACTAAAATCAAAGCGATTCAATCAACACTTAAATTGGATAAAACATTATGGAGAGAACCAATTGGGTTTATTTGAACAACATAGATCTTAATTACCATATCCAATTGGTCACTTACATTATTGAAGAGAAAGATTAAACCAACTTGAACTTGAGCATAAATTTTAAAACACGACATCACATTTTTGAAGTTGACTCCAAACGACTGACATTAACTCCAGTAGATGAATGACAAATCTCGACTATTTGTTTGAATCATCCTCCGCTTTCTCCACCTTTGTCACGAATGTAACCGGTTTCTTCGGGTGCTCATTTACAGTCAAGTTAAAAATATCTGGCTTTGAGTAATGTCCAACCACATCGAAGTATAACTTGGCTCTTGCTATATCTCCAAGATCTTGATGAAAAAAAGAACGTTACCAATATGCATGATTAGCTCAAAAAAGTTAACATTGTCTATAGCCTAAAATGAATATAAAGAAGACTAGAAAGAGTGTATATATATACCAAGATCAGCTGTGACGAGACCCTCTGATTCATAGTTTGGTCCGGCGAGAACCTGTCCCAAAGGTGAAATAATGACACTTCCACCTCCGGAGACAGTAGGATCATGTTCTTTAGTGTCTACTATGTCATTAAACAAGTAATCAGGATGTTCAGGGAACTCTTTGCGCTTGCAGAACTGGTGCGCTGACAACACGAAACATCCACCTTCTACCGCAATGTGAATCATCGATGCTTGCCATTCCAACGAATAATCAGCAGTAGGTGCACAATAAATCTCAATGCCTGTGCACCAAAAATCGCAAATTTATTAGGAATCTTATATCAAAAGCCGGATATGTCACACTACATTGCATTAAAAGCTGACCTTTAGCGTATAATGCAGTTCTATAGAGGGGCATTCTATTCTCCCAGCAAATAGCAGCACCAATTTTGCCAATGGGAGTGTCGTAAACGGGGATGGTTGATCCGTCCCCTTGACCCCATATGCAACGTTCCAAAGATGTAGGCATGACTTTCCGGTGCTTACCTAAAAACCGACCTTGTGGACTGAAGAAAAGAGCGGTACAATAGAGTGTATAACCATCCTTCTCTATAGCCCCCATTACCAAATGCACATTGTTTTTCCCGGCCAACTCAGCCAATCTTTCTACTTCAGGGCCTGTAGATTCATTACAACATTTACAAGAGTACCAACCATATGCAAGAAATAACCATTTTGTGATCCAGGCTTTGAGAGAGTTCAACTAAACTAGAGCTATAACACTCATAGTGACAAAACAGAGAACTCGAAATGAAACATGTTTTTCCTAAGAGTTAAGTTTACTTTGTTCCAAATAAAATTCAACTGTCCTCAAGACCAACCACAAATAAAAATCATATTCCAGATTTCTGAACCCTTAAGCGTAGCAAAAGATCCGGATACGTTAAAAACAAACCAAAAAAGCCAAAAAAAAAACAGAAAACAAACAGATGTGGACAGAGGAAAACAGTAAAAATATTTCTTTACCTTTGTAAGAAAGCTTTAATATGTTATATTGACAAACAAAGTAATTAAATTATTAATAACAAAGTATATCATATGTTGCCAAGAAGAATAAGACATTCAAGAGTATACATTAAGCGATTTGGATCCGATTTTCACGGATCCTGAATATTATATCATTCATAGCCGAATCTTTTGACTCGATAAAGATCGGATGGTGTTTATATAAACACAAAATAATTGATGATTTTTGTTCAAAAGTTAATTGATTAGTCAAAAATCTATTAAAAGATCAATTTACGGATAAGAACAAAATAAGAAAATGTAATAAACAAAATTATTTAACGGATAAAATACAAGACAAGAAAATGAAAATGCAAATTCGGACACAAAAAAAAAAAAAAGAAGAGTCAACGTAGGTTTTACCAGGAACTTTAATAGCAGAAGCATGGTAGTTGCAGAACTCATCACGCCCTTCTTCGTTATGAACTCCCACCGCTAAACCAAACCTAAAACCACGAGGATAACCACCGATAAACGCCTCCGGGAACAACACTAGCCTCGCACCCTTGCTTGCCGCCTCTACAATAAACTTCTCCGCCTTGTCTACAAATCGAAATGGAACGTTTTGATAAATTTTACATATAAAAAAAATATAGGGGAATTAATGGATAATTAGTGACCTAGAGTGGCGGGAGTATCGTTATAGACGGTGGAAGATTGAATGATGGTAACTCGTACGGTGGAGGATGGGTCAACGCCGTTAATGGGAGTTTTGTTTTTGACTGCTGACATTTCTTCGGTAGTAGACATAGTAACTCAAGTCTTTGTTTCACTTTACACTTTGATGACACTGAGAGACTTGAGAGGCAATATATATAGACTCTTTTTTTTTTTTCTTTGTCAGTAGTGATCAATTTTAGTTAATCTACTTGAGACGGTATTGGAGACCGAACCGGTGGTGGATCATGCGTTCACGTGTTCACTAGTTAAAGGAGACCAACAAAAATTATTGTCTTTTTGATAAAAATAGTAGAGTTTTCGGACTTTTGATCCATAATCTTTTTGATATTCAGATCAGTTGTTAATTATGTATATCGCATTTTAAACGTAAATCACTCTTTTCTAATAGAATTGAATTAGTGATATCTAATATTTATTCTCAAAACTCTTAGACTACAACTTATTATTCTGACTGTAAAATTTATGGATTCCTGTTACTCTATATTCCACGCATTTGCATTTTGCTGAATCATAAAAGGTGATAATTTTTTTTTTTTGGTACTATTTTGCTATGAATCTTTTTCCTTTAATTTTCTCACCGTCCAATCCTTTTTCTTAAAGTCTCGCCATACTATCTAATAAGTTGTATACAACTACTTTGTAGGACCAGTAATTGATTTTTAAATTAAATTTATGAAATTGAAAGGTTTGCAAAAAAGTTTCCTTTTAACGCATGTTCAATAATACAAAAAGATTACAAAGAATTTTGTCTTTTTAATTCTCAAAATTCACAATAAAGAACATTTAGCAATTATGAAATCAGGAAGCTTTGATATCGACTTTATAGTAAAAAATGACAAAATAATAGGAATAAAGGTTTTTCTTTTGCAGAGCAGAAAAGTAACACTCCCAAACCAAATCTTTGATGCCTTAGACAAAAGAGAAAAGGTAAATGAAACACTATAGTATACTAGTTTAAAAAGAATCTGGACACAACACAAGCGGGAAAAGGGGATTTTCATACACGTACTATCGGAACCGTGGATTTTTATACCTCGATATTTTGGTAGTGTATTTTCCAACCCAAACTAAAATAAAATTTGAATTTCATACCTGTATTTGATAAATCGTGCAAAAAAACGGAGTCAATCTAACGGGTGTTAATCAACTCCGTTACGATGCAGAGTCATCGTACACGTGTACGCTGACGTGTATCCCATACGACGTCGTTTTGACAATTGTTCTCAAAAGTTTAAATTTTTTGCAAAATCGGGGATTCGAACCCGTGTCACTTGGCCCAACATCGAGCACCTTTACCAATTCATCCCACAACTCTAATCGAACATACTCCAATCATTTTAAGTTATAAACCTTAATAGTTGTGTGTTTGGAAATAAACCAAACGACGTCGTTTTCAATCGGGAGATTAAGTAACATCGGCGACATCTATGGAACACCGGCGAGCAATGGAAACGTCACTGGTTCGTGTTACGCAACTCCGATGAGCTCTCCAACGCCTAGACGTATGATGGTGACGAAAACGACGACGCCGATAACAGAATTTGACGGCGATCCGGGATTTGCAGAGAGAGCGGCGAGGTTCTCGTGTTTCGGTAGCCGGAGTTTCAACGGCAAAACAAACTCGTCGTTTCTGATTAATAACGAACAACCCGTCGCAACCAATGAGAAAATGCCACGTATATCAAGCAGCCCAGCTCTTAAGCCTCTCGTGTCTCATGTTCCCGCCGGCGAATCGTCCGGTGAATTTTCGCACAATTCGCAGCACTAGAATTCTTATTTTTCCCTCAATTGAAAACGACGTCGTTTGGTTTATTTCCAAACACACAACTATTAAGGTTTATAACTTAAAATGATTGGGCAATGTTCGATTAGAGTTGTGGGATGAATTGGTAAAGGTGCTCGATGTTGGGCCAAGGGACACGGGTTCGAATCCCCGATTTTGCAAAAAAATTAAACTTTTGAGAACAATTATCAAAACGACGTCGTATGGGATACACGTCAGCGTACATGTGTACGATGACTCAGCATCATAACGGAGTTGACTAACACCCGTTAGATTGACTCCGTTTTTTGCACGATTTATCAAATACAGGTATTAAATTCAAATTTTATTTCAGTTTGGGTTGGAAAATACACTACAAAAATGTCGAAGTATAAAAATCCACGGTCCCGATAGTACGGGTATGAAAATCTCCTTTTCCCCAACACAAGCCAAATACATTGACATATACAAGCCAAGGGACACGGGTTCGAATCCCCGATTTTGCAAAAAAATTAAACTTTTGAGAACAATTATCAAAACGACGTCGTATGGGATACACGTCAGCGTACACGTGTACGATGACTCAGCATCATAACGGAGTTGACTAACACCCGTTAGATTGACTCCGTTTTTTGCACGATTTATCAAATACAGGTATTAAATTCAAATTTTATTTCAGTTTGGGTTGGAAAATACACTACAAAAATGTCGAAGTATAAAAATCCACGGTCCCGATAATACGGGTATGAAAATCTCCTTTTCCCCAACACAAGCCAAATACATTGACATATACATCCATATTGTGTATAACTTAAGAATTTCTTATTTTAATTCCTATTACTCCATATATAATTTCATGCATTTTGCTTCCACGTGACAGGTAATAGTTTTCTTTATTTTTCCCTCTCTCGTTTGGTTCTATCTAAGAAGTTGTATGTAATTAATTTAAGAAAATTACTTTTATTTTGCCTGTGTTGTTTCTTTTTACATTAGCACTAAATTTAGCACATGTTTAATACTGTCTCTGTTGCTAGATATTTGATGTTATCTAGATTTTTAGTTTATTTCACAAAGTTTAAATTTTTAGGTTTTTGTTTTATTTTTTACTGATTAAAATTAATATATCGTAAACTTCAAGACGTAATGATTAACTGTTTTCTAATACTATTGGTTCAAAGTTATTAAAAAATATCTAGTATAATAATAATTGACAAATAATTAAACAATGATTGCTTTTTAATATATATGAAAACTGTATAACATCAATTTTTTAAGAACAGAGAGAGTAATACAAAACGATTAGAAAAAACGTTTTTTTGGTGTAACCAGTTTTTTTGTGAGTATACTAGTTAATTACTTAATTATGTAAAGAGCGGGCTTGTTGATTTGACCCCAAAAAATAATAACCATATACGTATAGCAATATTGACTTTTGAATTTCCGGGTTTTGGTTTGCCATTATTATCATCTCTAATTCGGCGAGCTACAAATAATTAAATAAGTAATTTGGTAGTTCTGTCTTGACGGCCAATTTGAATGGTTTTCTGTCTTAGACTATATATTTTTCAGCTTCCATGTTTCTTTGTGATTCTATGCAAATCATGATTCATAACAATTGGCTACATAGTTTTACGGCTGAACAACTTCCGAGATTCAACGCTCAAATTAGATAAAACACAATGGCACAATTTTAAAATACAAGAGGAGATCAGAACCAATTCGTTTTATTCAACAACATAGATCTTACCATTATTACTTGACTCCATAGATCTTACCATTGAAGAGAAAGATAAATAAACTTGAACATAAATATGAAAACTCAACAGAACATTTTTGGACTTACTCCATACGATTGACATAACTCCAGCAGACGAACTTTAAGTCTCTGAGTATTTGTTTGAGTCATCCTCAGCTTTCTCCACCTTCGTCACGAATGTAACCGGTTTCCTCGGGTGCTCATTGACGGTCAAGTGTAAAACATCTGGTCTCGAGTAATGTCCAACCGAATCGAAGTATAACTTGGCTCTTGCTACATCTCCAAGATCTTGATAAAAAATAACGTTATTGATATGATTAGCTCAAAAACAAATTGATGAATATCAAATGAGAGTGTATATACATATACATACCAAGATCAGCTGTGATGAGACCCTCTGATTCAAAGTTTGGTCCGGCGAGAACCTGTCCCAAAGGTGAAATAATGACACTTCCACCTTGGGAGACAATAGCATCATGTTCTTTGTTGTCGTCCCAATCGGTAAACAAGTAGTCCGGATGATCAGGGAAATCTTTACGCTGACAGAATTGGCAAGCCGACAACACGAAACATCCACCTTCGATCGCAATGTGAAGCATCGACGATTGCCATTCCTTCGAACCATCAGCAGTAGGCGCACAATAAATCTCAATGCCTGCGCGCCAAAAATAAAAAATTGTAAGTAATATTTCAATAAAGACTAGATGTGTCAAAACTGCATTGGGTTAAAAACTGACCTTTGGCGTACAATGCAGTTCTATAGAGGGGCATCCTATTCTCCCAGCAAATAGCAGCACCGAGTTTGCCAATGGGAGTGTCGTAAACGGGGATAGTTGATCCGTCCCCTTGACCCCAAATGCAACGTTCCAAAGTTGTGGGCATGAGTTTCCGATGCTTACCCAAGAACTGACCTTGTGGACTAAAGAAAAGAGCTGTGCAATAGAGTGTATACCCATCCTTCTCTATTGCTCCCATTACCAAGTACACATGGTTTTTCCTTGCAACCTCAGCCAATCTTGCTACTTCAGGGCCTTAAGATTCATCACAAAAACCAAACATATGTGCAAGAAAGAGTCATTTTGTGTCCCAAGATTTTGAGATTGCTCAACTAAATTTAAAAACTAGAGCTACAAAATATCACTAATTAGGTGCTTGTTCCATTTAATTTCCATCTAAAAGTGACAAAAACGGAAAACTCGAAATCAAACATGTTTATCCTCAAAGTTGAGGTTTCTTTGTTCCAACTAAAATTCCATTCCATTGTCCACAACGTATATATACATCTCCATGACTCCAACCACAGCCAACATAACCAAACAAAAATCACAATCCAGCAACCAAATAAAGGAGAAATAAAAAATCTTTAATAATATAACGTTTATAATTTTTTGGTCAAAATATATAACATTTAATGTAACATCTTTAAAGAGTAATTTTAAAAGATAAAGATCCGGATATCCAAAATTTTTTTGACCCAATAGGTTTGGATCCGATATCGGGTGGTGTACTTTGAATACACTTGTACGTACTAGATAAGCATACAATAATTGAGGTTAGAGTTCAAAGTTATTGATTGGTTAAAACCCTTGTTTGAAAAATCGCTAGGCGTTAGTCGGGCGCTCGGCATGGGCCTAGCGATTAATCAGAAAATCGGATTAAAATCGGGGATTAATCGGGGATTAGTTTTAGGGTTATTTTAATATTTTTAAAATATATTAATCCAATATTGTAAAAATTTATGATTTTTATTACAAATTTATGATTTTTATTAAAATTTGAACACAAGTTATTGTAAAACATCACAAACTCACCATTCAAATGATTGAATAACAAAAATAAAAGGTTTTTTTATACTTGCAATCTAAAAAATAATCGGGGTATATAAGATAAGGTGGAAAATAATCGGATTAGGCGGGAAGTAATCGGATTAGGCGGAGAATAATCGGGTTACTGATTTTTTAGGGGATTAGTCATTAATCGAGGCGGATAGGGTGGGCCTAGCGATTAAGCGGGGAGTAATCGGGGCTAGGCGGGGATTTTTAGAACAGGGGTTAAAACAGTGTAAGAAAATCATTTCATGGATAAAAATACAGGGATTATTGTTTAAAATGCCCTTTTTTTGGGAAAAACTTACGAAAATGCCTTTTTTTGAATAGTTTACGGATTTTGCCCTTTTTAACACTTAAAAATGTACGTATTTAGGATTTTTTTTTCCAAAAATACGTACTTTATACCAAATACTAAACCCTAAGAACAAATGGAACCGACTAAACCCAAACATAAAGAGTGAAACGCATGTTAAATCATATTTTTGGAGCATGAAAAAAGGCAAAATGCATAAACTATTCAAAAAAGGGCAAAATCCACAAATGCCCTTATGAAAAAGGACAAAATCCGTAATTTATTCTAAAAATACAAGATAAGAAAACAAAAAGTCAAACATAGATTCCTGGAAGTAAATAGTAAATACCAGGAACATGAATAGCAGAAGCATGGTACTTGCGAAACTCATCACGCCCTTCTTCATTATGAACTCCCACAGCTAAACCGAACCTAAAACCACGAGGATAGCCACCGATAAACGCCTCCGGGAACAGCACCAACTCCGCTCCCTTGCTCGCCGCCTCCACAATATACTTCTCCGCCTTGTCTACAAATTGAAATGGAACGTTTTGATAAATTTTACATATCAAAAAAAAAAGAAAAACTATGTGAAGAATAAATGGATTACTTACCTAATGTGGCGGGGGTATCGTTATAGACGGTGGACGATTGAACGATTGTAACTCGCACGGTGGAGGATGGGGCAACGCCGTTAAACGGAGTTGTGTTTTTGACAGTTGACATTTCTTTAGTACTAGACATATTAACTCAAGTCTTTGTTTTTTACTTTGGTGCATGATACTGAGAGACTTGAGAGAGCCAATATATAGATTTTTTTTTTTGGGTTGTGTGGTCACATTTTAGTTTCCTATTGGAGACGGTAACGAGATCGAACCAGTGGTGGAAATGAAATGAGGTGGGACTAGCCCACATGATTTTTTTCCTCATATGTAAGAAAGAAGAAAATATCTAATTCTCTGCATTAATTTGTTTTTGTTTTTGGTAAAGTTCACATCAAATCAATCTTGACTCTGATACCTTTCTACTAATTGAGAAGTAAATAATTTTTTTCCTACGAATTAAACTGTACAAGAGAACCAAAATTGACATAACCAGCCGATGCTATAATTCCTTTTTTTTTTTTTTTGGACAAACCGATGCTATAATTCCTAAAAGATAAAAAGAGTTGGAAAAAACTGGTTAAGAATAATTACAGACGCTAGTTTACAAAGAATTTGGACACAATAAAGCCAAACGAAAAAGAGTAAGACAAGTGAATTACCAAATAAAAAAGGAAAAAATTTCTTTTATGGATTCCTGAAACTTCGAATTCGATGCATTTTTTACACAAAAATATTCAATGCATTTTGATTCCTCATAATAGACAATACTATATCTATTTTTTTTAACGTCTTAATTTATTATTTATTGTAAATTATGAGAACTGTTAAATAGACGATTTTACAACGGACAATTGCTTCTGATTCTTATTAGATCCACGACGGACGACACTTCCTTCTTCATGCTCTTGACGGACACCTTCAATGATCCACGACCCGACGACACTTCTTTCTCTGCGTAGAATCCTGGCGAACGGCTATAATTGTACATCGTTAGAGATCTCCTGCACACTTGCCTCCATTAATCTGCATTAATAAATCGCAGTACATGTGACTCGAACCCCAAACCTCTTGGTGTAGAATAATTAATTAACCCTTGGTCAACCAATGGGCTAAGGAGGCTTCCACATACTATATCCTTTATATATAGATTTTTTTTCCATCACTCGCAATTAATTAGAGCTCAAAAAAATTATTTCTAAGGAATGTTGTTTATATTGCCTCCCCCCTTCTCACAAAAAAAAAAGAATGTTGTTTACATATCTGATATGATGCGGTTCGGTACAAACTTTTTCGTGCCAAATTATCTCTTTTACATTTGCACATCGAGAGAATAAAGATAGAGAGATATTTGTGAATTCTTCCTTGTCACTATGAAATTCCTCCAAATACACTAAAAATGTCTGTCATTTGGGTTCGGGTGGGATTTTTCGAATTCGGGTTTTATTTTGGATTTAGAAATCTAGGACCTGTTTGGGTATTTTAAAACTTCGGGTTCGGGTCGGCTTTGGATCGGGTTTACCCAAAGTATCCAAATATAAAAAAAATTTGTATCCAATTCTATATGAACTTCTGGAAAATATCCAAAAAAATTACAAAATTCTACTATTTTTTACCTGAATATAGCCAAAGGTAGCTAAAATACCCGAAAATATCTTAACATCCGAATATTTTAGTATTTAGGTTATTTATTTATTTATTTTTCCTTCCAAAAACCTTTATTAATATTTTGGATCAATATCGTTCTTTACAGGACTGTTAAGAAAGTGTGGACAAGAATGATACAAACCCCATCTCTCATCACTACTTATAGCTTTTTTTGCAAGTATATCAGCACACTTGTTTTGTTCTCTCGGTTTGAAGGTGAAAGTGGCTTGAGTAAAGAGATCTCTCCAGGCCCATATTGTGTCAATGTAGTGTTGCAGCCGTGGGTGTGGTGCTGTCCCATTGATGATGTTGTTGATGTTCTGGTTATCGCCTTCAAATTCAACCATCCTATATCCCAATCCCCAAGTCGCTTGCAAGGCCCATATGAGGCTTGTGCATTCTGCTTCCTCCGTTGTAGTGCATCCTTGAGATTTACCCCATCCGCAGTCATGAAAGGTTCCAAAAGAATCACGTATAATCCACCCTAGACCAGAGACTCTGTTCCCGCCATGATGTGATACATCGTAGTTGCATTTCATTACTCCTCTTGGGGGTTTTCTCCAACCTGCTTCTCGTGCATCCTTAATCGGGCCTGAGTTATGTCGAGTTGTAGTCTTTGTAGCATTATCCAGCCATTCCTTAGTGTCCGATACTGCATGAATTACTGTGTCCACAGTTGTTGTGGTTTTACGGTTAAACACCAGAGCATTCCGAGCTTTCCACAGTCTCCACATTATCCAAAATGGTAAGAATCTTGTGTTACGACTTATTTGTTCGTCATGTGAATGGTGAAGAGTTGTCGTAGCTTGTCTTCCATCGGTTTGCTAGGGTCGCATATTTGAGCAGTGGGAATTCCGGCTGCTCTCCATACTCCTTGGGCATAAGGACATGTAAAGAAAGTATGGTCACACGTCTCCAGCACCGTGCAACACCGTGAGCAGTAGGGGTTTACATTTATGTTCTGACGTCTCAAATTATCCGCAGTTCCTATTGCTCGTGACCCCACTCTCCATAGAAAGTGCTTTAATTTGGGAGTGATAGTCAACTTCCAAATACTCGTAGAGATATCAGGGAAATGTGCTAGTCTTGGTTGTGGAGTGTCATTGTCTATCAGTAAGTTCATGGCTGTCCAATAACTAGACTTGACCGTGTAGTTCCCATCCTTCGTTGGGCTCCAAATATGTGAATCCGGCTTAGGCTTGAGAGGTAGATAGATTTGGGAAATAAGGTGGTGGTCTTCCGGATGGATTAGCCTAGCAATTTGGTCTTCATTCCATTGGTGCACATTGTGTCAATTAGATTTTCAACCTTGAGTAGTGGTTCGGATGTTGGGAGTAGCCTAGGTGCCCTTGGTGGATTGGTTGGGAGCCATGGGTCAGTCCCTATTGATGTTGTTTTTCCATCACCAATAAGTACTTGTATCCTCCGCTGTAGGAGATCTCTACCAAAGCGTAGTGAGTTCCAACCGTAAGACGGTTGTGTACCTCTTGTAGCCGAGAAAATGGTGTCATCGCGAAAGTAGCGTCCTTTGAGTATTCGATATAGGAGTGATTGTGGTCGTCGTAGAATTTTCCAGACTTGATTTGCTAGGAGTGTTTGATTAAATAGATGCAAATCCCAGAATCCCATACCGCCACTTTTCTTAGATGTTGTCATCTTCTTCCATGCTACCCATGAGAGTTTTCGTCTCTCTTTTGTTGAGCCCCACCAGAAACGTGCTATCATGCTATCAATATCAGAGCACAGCTCCATTGGCAATTGAAAACAATTCATTGAGTAAATCGGCATTGCGTATGTAACACTCTTAATTAGTGTCTCCTTTCTAGCCGGCGATAAAAACTTAGTTTGCCACCCGTCTATCTTATGTTGAACTCGGTTTTGGATATACTGGAACATGTCCTTTTTCCTTCTGCCGAATTGTTCAGGGAGCCCCAAATACTTTCCACCACCACCAACATTTGGTATACGAAGAGTGCTCATAATCCTATCTCTCGTAGATTGATACACATTATTTCCAAACGTTATGGACGACTTCTCTAAGTTGATCATTTTACCCGATGCTGTTTCATACTCTTTGAAAATATTCAGCAAGTTGGTGCTGTTCTTATGATCCGCTTTGACGAAAAATAAGGAATCATCCGCGAAGAATAGGTGTGAGACCGACGGGCCATTATTGCTGACTCGTATTCCTTTAATCTACTTTTCTCGAATGGCATGTGTCATTAGCGAACTCAAAACATTTGCACAAAGTATGAAAAGGTATGGAGACAAAGGGTCTCCTTGCCGTATACCGCGGCTTGGTTTGAAGGAACCATACGGACTGCCGTTAATCAAAACAGAGAAGGAGACCGAAAGTATACATTCCATGATCCATTTTATCCAACAGTGTGCAAAACCTTTTCTCCGAAGCACTTCTTCCAAGAATCTCCATTCAACTCTATCGTATGCTTTACTTATGTCAGTTTTCACTGCCATATACGAATTGGCACATCTTTTACGGACGCGTAACGAGTGAAAAATCTCATGAGCTATGAGTACATTATCGGTAATGAACCGGCCTGGTATAAATGCAGCTTGATTCTCCGAAACTATTGATGGCAGCACAGTTTTCAACCTCTTAACCATTATTTTTGAGATGATCTTGTAAGTGACGTTGTAGAGACTGATTGGTCGGAAATCTTTCATTGTTTTGGGCTGTTGGATTTTAGGAATCAAACAGATGTTTGTGTGGTTCCAATCATGTGATGCATTCTTGTCTTCCGATACGACTGGTCGTATATTGCGAAGTGTAGCAACTGGGTCTGATGTATTTGTGCTTGAGAATAAATGACCAAAATATCTTACTGCCTCCTCACCAATCTCGCGATTGCCAAATATCACATTGCCGTTGTTACCTTCAACCGAAGTTAATCTATTACGGGCAATCCTATTTTTCGTAGACGCATGGAAAAAGCGGGTGTTTGAGTCGCCTTCTTCAAGCCACTGGTTTCTACTCTTCAACTTCCAATAGATTTCTTCGTCTCTATACGCTTGTAACAATTCTCTTCGAAGGCTATGTATCTGCTCAATTGTTGTGACGTTATCTGTATGAGTTTCATCAATAACTTTGATGAGTTCCTTGATTCTCACTGCTGAGTTAGTGTTGTTATTTCTTTTCCACGCAGAGATCTCTCTTCTACAGCACTTGATTCGGTCATGTACCGTGATGTTAGCAAAACCCTCAAACTGATTCCAACTATCTACCACAACGGTTTCAAAGTCTGAGTGTTGACAAAGTCGTGTATCAAACTGAAACAGCCTCTTCCCATGTTCCGTTGTCCTTCTGATCTTTATTATGGCAGGTCTATGGTCAAATTCTACCATCTCTAGATATTCAATTTCTGAAGAAAGGAAGGTAGCTCTCCACTGGTCATTTGCCATTGCCCTATCTATCCAACTTTCCACATGATGTGTTCTTCTTTTCCCAGCCCAAGTCATATTGTTTCCTTTAAATGGTAGATCAGAGACTTTGCATATTTGAACCATATTTCTGAAATCCACCAAGCTCCACGGCTCTCTTATAGGCCCTCCTCTTTTTTCATTTGCATGAAGTATCTCATTAAAGTCTCCACACATTAGCCAAGGTTCATTGCGAATAAGAGCTATTCTTTGAAGTCTTTCCCATAAAATATTACGCAATTGACGAATTGAATGGCCATAGACACAAGAAAAGTAGAAAGACATATCTTTATTACTTAACTTACAATCAATGAGTCTTGCATCAACATCATAAAAGCAAACTGAAACTGACTTGTTCCATAACAACGCTAAACCACCCCCAATACCCAAAGGAGATACACATTTCACATAGTCATATCCTAATTGAGCTGGCACATCTTGAACGACATCATCCGGATTCTTCGTTTCGAGCAAAAAGAGTATGTTCGGAGAATAAGTTGCCTTGATTCCCTTAAGGCGTCGAACTACCAAAGACCCTTTTAAGCCCCGGCAGTTCCAAAATGCTGTATTCATGGCAGCTCCAGTGGCTTATGGCCCATCGTACCATCACAGTTGGTTGTTGGTGCATTCGGAGTGGATCTCCCTGCTTCGGTTGGTTGTGGTGAAGGAACTTGCTGCATAAGGTACCAGGCACGGCCTTCAATTATCTCAGATTGGCGGCGTTGACGTTTGTAGACCTGGAGATCGGTATCTTCTGTAGCCCTCGTCTGTCTCACGTCGCAACACACAAGTGGGAAAGCATGAATGTGTTCAGGTGCACTAGATGGTTCCATCTTTCTCTTCTTGGATGAACCAGATGTATCTTCATGCTTGCCACTATCCGCAACATTGTCAACTCCGAGTTTCTGTGTATCTTCTTGTTGGTCGGCCATAGGTGCCTCTGGATTGTAATCCGGATCATCATCATTCTCATCATCCGAAGGTGGAGGCGGCTGAATATCGTTGTTCATAGGACAATTCATCGCTTCATGTGTCAGCAAACCGCAAGTAGAGCAGAAGTTTCTTAGCTTTTCATATCTGAACTTCAGAACAGAGGTTTCATCACCGAATTGGAAAGGCCTTTGGAACCTTAAAGGATCATCAATATTCCAGAGGATCCTGACACAGACATAATCAACCAAGACGGCGTTGTCTCCTCTAAAATCAGTTTCCAGGAAGTGACCCATCCTTCCTCCAATCGATGTAATCATTCGGAGCGTGAGTAAGTGGAGAGGGATGCCTCTGATCTGAATCCAGAATGGGAGTCTCTTCAAGTCATCATCGATAAGGTTCGGATTCCAGCGTTGTGTAACGCACATCCATTCATTAAAAGACCAGGGACCGCGTCTTAAAACAAAGGTCATCGATTCTTCTGATTGGAACAAGAATTGTATCTTCTTATTCTCCAATATACGTCCCGTGACTTCGTCACCGACTCCCCACAGTCATGGTAGAGTACCAAGCATCGCCCTTAAGTTTTGCTTCTTGGGATTGACAGGTTTGACCACGAGACTGAATCTAGTTTCGCTGATCGCCTCTTCGCACAATTCATACGGAAGATTGATTACTTCCTCTTCGATTCCAAGAGCAATCTCTTGCATCTGTCTGCGTAATTTATCAGCCATGATCAACAGGAACAGCGGAAAAGGAATTTGAATTTCACTCTGGTCAACACAATTAATCCAGAGACAGACGCAAGGATTATATAGAGTAACAGGGATGGCAGTTATCGAGACAGTAACTGTTTTACCATTACCCTTCCCTGAAGAAACCGCCGATAACCGGCGAAAACTGTCAATTTCCGACAGAAACCAAGAGAGAAGGGTGAAAGGTTGTGTTCGCTCAAAAAATCGCCTCGCTCTCATTTTTTTTTCTTATAGTATTTAGGTTATTACAAGTATAAATATTACTAATATATTTAACTATGTACTTATATTTTAGGTATGTTTTCGGGTACTTGTTCGGCTTCGGGTTCGAGTTTTGGGTTGTGAAGTTTAGGATCCGTTCGGATAATTTAAAACTTCGGGTTCGGATTCAAATTGGGTTTTTCGGATCAGATTCTGTTTGGTTCTTCGGATTCGAGTATTATGTCCAGACCTAAAAAAGATACAATCTTCACCATATCTAAACAGTCTGTAAAAAAATATATATCTTGGTTGTTTGCACCAATTATACACTTCATCCTTTATACATAAATATATTTATAATTTCGTAATACCTTACATTTTTATGGCCGGCCGTACGTCCTACCTCATAA